TACCCCGCACCATCCCAACTTCTGTGTTGTGAATTTTCAATGAACAGAGCAAGAGTTCCATCCATCTAAAATTGTTCCTTTTTCTTCACCCCTGCAAGGGCAAAACAGAAAGGCCTGAATCCACCCCCTGAAGATTTGCCTATGGCTATTCGGAAGACCATTGATGACCTGGAAACATGAGGACTTAAGGCGGGAGACAAAGCAGAGAGGAATTTCTAGTTCCAGTATGGGCACATCGGCAGATTTTGTTAGAAGCAATTGCACTAACCCTTCCTCGTCCATTAACGTCGGATATTTTATTGCTGAGGTGTTAATGGCATTCCTTGCTGTTTTTGGGAATGTTTTCATCTGCTTTGTTGTCGCCAGGAACAAGAAATTAAGGACAGCAACAAATTACCTCCTGGTGTCCCTGGCTGTGGCGGACATATTGGTTGGGGCAGTTGCTATCCCTTGCGCCCTACTGACGGACATTGGCCTACCCTGGTGTAGTTACTATCTCTGCGTCCTCATGCTCTGCACGCTGCTGGTCCTCACCCAGGCGTCCATCTTTGGCATGTTCACCATCGCGGTGGAGCGCTACATCGCCATCCTGAGGCCATTCCGTTACTCAGTCCTGGTGACCCCCAGGAACACCGGTCTCGCCATCGCCGTGGCGTGGGCGCTGGCCGTGGCCATCGGGCTGGTGCCCCTGATGGGATGGCGCGAGGCGCAGATCGCTGAGGGGGGCTGCTTCTTCAACAGCGTCATTGACGAGAGCTACATGGTCTACTTCAACTTTCTCGGCTGCACCCTGCTGCCGCTCCTCGCCATGTTCGTCATCTACTCCAAGATATTTTTCGAGGTAAAGCGGCAGATCCGACGGATAGCTGAGAGGCACATTGGCATCAGCGCAGAGGAGAAACGGAGGAAGATTATCTGCCAGGAGCTCCAGACGGCAATGTCTCTCTTCATCGTCCTTTTCTGTTTCACCCTGAGCTGGATTCCGATACACATCCTGCACTGCATCAAACTCTACTGCCCACACTGCAATGTCACCACGTCTGTGATGCTAACCATGGTTATTCTGTCCCACTTTAACTCAGTCATCAACCCCATTATCTACGTCTTCAGGATTAAGAGCTTCTGGGAAGCCTTCAAAGAGGCATCCTCATGCATCCCCTACCCCGCACTCTTCGGGAAGTATTCCAACACGAATTTGACTGTAATGATTAAAGCTGAGTCTTTCAGGAACCAGAACAATGCCTTGCCGGGGCTATAGGATTGGTGAGAAACTAACTCCAAGGTTTTGTTGGGATGGCATGGCCCAGTAGTCTGGCACCCTCTCTAAGCGCTCGCTGTTGCAACAATACTGTTTCCGTTGAATTATACATTACTTGTGACACTAACAAACCATGAGTGCACAGAGGCCGCACTATATCTGGGTTAGACTTATAGTTTCATGCAGCGCAGAAAAGGCCCTTCGGCCCATCGGGTCTGCAGCGACATAACTACCGCTAAAAGTGTGCCAATCCCAATTTACTTGTCCCATATCCTCGATTCCTTTAGACTGGGGACACTAAGCTGGGGGGCAGTGTGTGCTGTGAGGAGGATGCTAAGAGGCTGCAGGGTAACTTGGACAGACTGAGTGGCAAATGCAATAAATGTGCGGTCATCCGCTTTGGTGGCAAAAACAAGAAGGCAGATTATTATCTGAATGGTGGCAGTTTAGGAAAATATGAGGTGCATTGAGACCTGGGTGTCATGGTAGAACAGTCGTGAAGGTTGGTATGTGGGCGCAGCAGGAGGTGAGGAAAGCTAATAGCATGTTGGCCTTCATAGCAAGAGGATTTGAGTATCAGAGTAAGGATGTCTTGCTGCAGTTGTACAGGGCCTTGGTGAGGCTATACCTTGCAGTTTTGGTCTCCTAGTCTGAGAAAGGACATTCTTGCTATTGAGGGAGTCCAGCGAAGGTTCACCAGACTGATTCCCGGGATGGCAGGAATGACATATGACAACAGACTTGATCAACTGGGCTTGTACTCACTGGAATTTAGAAGAATTGTGGGGGGAGGGTGGTGGGGGTGATCTCTTAGAAACGTATAAAGTCCTGATGGGACTGGACAGGCTAGGTGTGGGAAGAATGTCCCAGTGTTGGGAAAGTCCAGAACTAGGGGTCACACTCTAAGAATTAGGGGTAAGCCATTCAGGACTGAGATGAGGAAGAATTTCTTCACTGCCTGTGGAATTCTCTCCCACAGGAAGCTGTTGGGACCAGCTCATTAGATATATTCAAGAGGGAGCTGGACGTGGCCCTTGTGGCTAAATGGATCAAGGGGAATGGAGAGAAAGCGGGAATGGGACACTGAGATTGCATGGTCAGCCATGATCCTATTGAATGGAGTGGTAAGGTGGCTCAGTGGTTAGTGCTGCTGCCTCACAGTGCCAGGGACCTGGGTTCGATTCCACCCTCAGGTGACTGTGTGGAGTTTGCACATTCTCCCTATGTCTGCGTGGGTTTCTGCCCACAAACTGAAAAAGTGTAGGTTAGGGTGGATTGGCCACACTAAATTGCCCATTGTGTCCAGGGATGTGTGGGTTAGCCTTGGGAAATGCAGGGGTTAAGTTGGGGTGAGATGTTCTTTGGAGAATTAGTGTGGACTTGTTGGACCAAATGGCCTGTTTCTATACTGTAATGATTCTATGGATGGTATATAGCCTTAAAGCGCCATATGGCCTACTCCTGCACCTATTTTCTATGTTATTAAATGTGACAATCCATAATAATTTGCTTCTGATCTAGTTGCCCGTCAATTAAAATTAATAAAATTAATTTTCAGGATGAGGCCAGGCTAGCATTTATTGCCTTTGAGATGGTGAGGTGGTGGGGAGTTGCCTTCTTAATAACTGAGTCATTTTCTAGGGCTATTTCAGAGTCAACCACATCACTGTGGGTCTGGAGTCACATGTAAGCCAGATTGGGTAAGGATGACAGATTTCATTCCCTAATCGATATTAGTGAACCAGATGGGTTTTTCCCGACAGTCAACAATGGATTCATAATCATCCTTAGACTCTTAATTCCAGATATTTTTATTGAATTCAAATTCCACCATCTGCTGTGGCAGGGTTCAAACCTGGGTCCCCAGAACATTATCTGGGTCTCTAGGTTAACAGTCCAGCGATAGGGCCATCGTCTTTAGTGACCCAGATGGGTTTTTACAATAATTGATGATGATGGTGTCCAACACTGCGGCTCACTTCCAATTCCAGGTTTATTTAAATTTCCTAAACGTGGTGATGGGATTTGATGTCATGACTCCAGATGATCATAGTGGACTTCTAGAAAACTAATCCAGTTTAATAGCTGTTGGATTTGATCATTGTTGACCAAAGACAAAATTTGTCAAAGATTTTTGTCTTTGCAGTCATCAGGACAATCCACCAGAATACCAAGAATAAATATTTTTATACTTGGAAGAGAATTTAGGAGGTATGGGCAGTAAGTTTTCAGATGAACCAAGATCGATGGTACAATGGACAGCGAAGAAGATTATCTGAGAATACAATGAGATTTTGATCAACTGGGCCAGTGGGCTGAGGAATGGCAGATGGAATTTAATTTAGATAAATACAAGGTGTTGCATTTTGGTGGGTCAAACCAGGGCAGGACTTACTCAGTCAATGGTAGGGTCCTGGGAAGTGTTATAGAACAAAGTGATCTAGGGGGACAGGTTCATAGCTCCTTGAAAGTGGAGTCACAGGTAGACAGGGTGATGAAGAAGACTTTCAGCATGCTAGCTTTCATCAGTAACAGCATTGAGTATAGGAGCTGGGATGTTTTATTGCAGCTGAACAAAACATTCATGAAGCCACATTTGGAGTACTGCATGCAGTTCTGGCCACCCTACTATAGAATGGATATTATTAAATTAGAAATTGTGTAGAAAAGATTTACTAGGACTCTAGCTGGACTGGAAGGTTTGAGTTATAAGGAGAGTTTGGATAGGCTGGGACTTTTTTCCCTGGAGTGTATGAGACTGAGGGGTGACTTTATAGAGGTTTATAAAATCATGAGGGGCGTAGATAAGGTAGAGAGCCAACAGCTTTTCCCCAGGGTGGGGGAATCTAAAACTAGAGGGCGTAGGTTTAAGGTGAAAAGGGAGAGATACAAAGGGGTCCAGAGGGGCAATTCTTTCACAAACAGAGGGTGGTGAGTGTCTGGAAGGGCCTGCCAGAGATAGTGGTGTAAGCGAGTACAATTTAAGAAACATTTAGACAGGTATATGGATGAGATAGGTGTGGAGGGATATGGACCAAACGTAGGCAAATGGGACTAGTTTAATTGTGAAAACTGGGCGGCATGGGCAAGTTGGGCCGAAGGGCCTGTTTCTATGCTTCACAATTCTTTGACTTTATGACTTCCTCATAACATTAGCAGTTCTTGTGAATTATCCTGACCAATGCCGGAAGAAAAATGGTGACAAAATGTCTTTACTTCAGCAATCCTGAAGGCATGTCCCACCAGGAGACTATCAGTAGCCCCCTGTTCTGTTGTGCACACATTGCCTTCAGCTTTCAAGTTTAGACAGGACTTTTGTTGCCAATGGTTCAGTTCCGTGGGGACACTCTGGATGTTCTCTGTGAAGCAGAGAAGGTGACGAGGAAACTCGATTGAGGTGTTCAAATCTTTGAAGGGCTTTATGGAGTAAACAAGAAGGGCTACTGTATCCAGGGGCAGAAGGACAAAAAGATGGAGGACACAGATCGGGAAAATAATCCTGAGGTGATGTGAGGCAGTGTTCCTGCTTAACTCTGTGAGGTGTGGTCGGGAACACACTGTCTGAAAGAGGAGACAGATTCAACAGGAACTTTCAAAAGGGAATTCGATAAATATTTGAAAGGGCTAATTTTCAGGATTAAGGGAAAACTGCGGAGAGACTGTGATAATTAATATATTGAGTTTACTCCCTCCACCACTGATGCACAATCACAGCAGTGTGTACCTTTTATAGGGTGCACTGTAGCATCTTACCAAAACTCCTCAGTTGACACCTTCCAAAACCCATGACCTCTACCATCTGGAAGGACAAGGGTAGCAGATGGATGGGAGCACCAGCCCCTGCAAGGTCCCCTCCAAGCCATTCACCATCCTGACTTGGAAATATAATTGCCCGTTCATTCACTGTTGCTGGGTCAATTTCCTGGAAATCCTTCCCTAATGTCATCATAGAAACCCTACAATGTGTAAGCCGGCCATTTGGCCCATCAAGTCCACACCGACCCTCTGAAAAAGCATCCCATCCAGACCCAGCACCTCTACCCTATCCCTGCAATTCTGCATTTCCCATGGCTAACCCCCACTCTAGCCTGCCACATCCCTGGACACTACAGGGTAATGTAGTGTGGCCAATCCACCATGACCTGCACATCTTTGGACTGTGGGACAAAACTGGAGGGAATCCCACACAGGGGAGAATGTGCAAACTCCACACAGACAGTTGCCCGAGGGTGGAATCAAACTAGAGTCCTTGGTGCTGTGAGGCAGCAGTGCTAACCACTGAGCCACTGTGGGCATCCCTACACCCCAGGGGACTGCAGTGATACAAGTTGGCAGCACGCTGCCATCTTCTCAAGGGGCATTTAGAGATGGGCAATACCCATTGGCCCAGCCGGCAATGGCCACATCCCATGAGAGATCAGGAAGAGTAATTACTCTCTTACCCCATGCCTTAGTTGTCAGGCACTCCCTCTGCCAGTTTCTCTGGTGTCTGTGGTTTGGTGAGAAATGATTCTCGGTGGTTTTGATCTGAACTCGATTTCTTTCGTTTGAATGGTACAAGGTCACAACGCCAGGGGAGATCCTTCTGCCCATCGCCTCCACATCAGCTCTTTTGCATATCCTTCTCCCCACAGTTCCATATGTCCCTCAGCACCAAATGCAGTTAACCCTGAGCTTACCATCACATGGCAAGGTTCAGGAGTTGCACGCTGGTGTGGCTATCACTGTAAGGTTCAGAGGTAGGCAGTCGGCTGAGGCATTGTGCAGTTCTCTTGGGGGGGGTGGGGGTCGCGCTGTGTACTGTCTACTTTTCTTGGTCAGATGGGCTGAATGGCCAACCTCAGTCTCTATGTTAATTCTCCAGGGGTGGATGTAAAATGAACAGAGGTCACTCAACCAGTAACTGAAAGGAACAAACAGACTTATGAACAAATGTTGAGAAAACCAATTTTTTATTAAGGTACGGGAACATAGAGCAGTACAGGCCCTTCAGCCCACAATGTTGTGCAAACCTATTATGCTACTAAGCATTTATTGCCCATCCCTAACTGCCCAGAGGGCAGTTTACAAGTCAACCCCACTGCTGTGGGTCAATCAGCAATGGATTCACAGTCATCATTAGATTCTTAATTCCAGATATTTTATTGAATTCAAATTCCATCATCTGCCATGGCAGGATTTGAACCCAGAATGTTATCCAGGTCTCTGGATTAACAGTCCAGCAATAATACCACTGGGCCATCACTTCCCCTCCTGGTAGATTTGGAAAGGATGGTTCCTCTTGTGGGAGAATCTAGAACTGGGTGTCTAAAAACCAAGGCTGACACATTTAAAAGAGAGAAGAGGTGAATATTTCTCACATAGAATCACAAGATCCTGGAAATCTTTTCCTGAAAAGATGGTGAAAGAACAGTCCATAAATATTTTTAAGGTGGAATAAAGATACTTTTTTTTACTTGCTCACTGATGAGGGCATCTCTGGCCGGGCCAGCATTTATTGCCCATCCCTATTTGCCCCACAGGGAGGTTCAGAGTCAACAACATTGCTGTGGGTCTGG